TGTTCTTTAAAATGTTTTCAGTTTTGGGTAAGTTCTTTTGCACCCAAGAGTTGTTCAAGAGAGATTATTTTTAAAAATCTCCAGATTTAAATATCTTCTAGTTTCTTAAATTTTTCATTCATTTCTCACTTTGTTGTCTCATGAATAGAAAATATATCAATACTATTTCTACTTTTTAAAATGTATTGATATTTGCTTTGTGGCCTAATTATATATAACCTGTTTTCATGAATGTTCTATGAGTACATAAAGAGAAGGTAAATTCTCTATTTTCAGGATAAAGAGTCTGATACAAATTAATCAATTTCCTTATTAACTTTACTTTTAGTATTTCTATGTACCTACTTATTTTTTCACTGTCTTTCATAAATAAGTGAATTAGAATATCCTACTACCAATGTGTTTTTATATATTTCTCTTTGTATGCTCCATAATTTCTGCTTTATATATGTGATTTATAGTCATAACTGCTCTTATCTTTACTGAGAATTATACTCATTATAGTTTAAAGTTCCTTGCCTGTTTAATTCAGTGATATTTTGCCTAAATTTCACCTTTTGTTTAGGATTGTGACCTCTGCTTTCCATGTCCTTGCATTTGCCTAATATAAACATGACTAATTTTAATCTTCAATCTTTTAAAATCACCTTGTTCTATGTGTGTTTTACATAAAGTATGGCGTTATGATTTAAACTTTTACTCCAATTGGAATTTTTTTTCTTATAGGGGAGTTAAGCCCATTATATTTATTGATATAATAGAGATGTTTTTTCTTTGTTCTAATTATTTTATTATTAAAAAAATATAACATTTTTGCTTCTATGGCTTTTGAAGAAATTCATTTACTAAGTAATTTGTTTTTATTTTTATGTATTTCTGGTACTTAGGAAAGCTTTTATTTTTGTTCTGGTGGTTGCTTTTACTCAATATTCTGAGACTTTTATTTCTTTTGACAGTATCTATTTCCTAATAGAAGCAAAGATAAAATTAGTGTGCATAATCTTTCTCACTCTACTTTCTACCACCCAATTATATTCAATGTTGTGATCTTTTTTAGTGTTTCTCTAACACTATTATTACATATGCTAAGATTTTCTCATTGCTTGATTTGTTAGATTTCAGCAATATCCTTTGACAGACACCTAGAGATGAGATAGATAATAAGAGCAAGTCCTCTAACTCTCATCTTCTTTTCATCTTTTCCTTCCCATATCAGCCACAAGTAAAAGTCTAAAATAACTTCTTAATGAAAAACATGAAATTATATGATATAAAACATAGCACTCTAAAATAACTTCTTAATGAAAAACATGAGATTATATGATATAAAATATAGCAAAGTACATATTATTTTAAAGCTTTCAACTTAACGTTCCAAAAATAATATAAGTAGTTATTTCTCAGTAGTCCTAGTCCACTATTTCTTGTCCTATATAATTAAAATTTAAATTGAAACCCTGGGTAACATATTTTAACCTGTAGATAATTCATCTAGGCTCTTCCAGAACATGTAGCTAGAACATTAACCAGAGAGACCCTGCATGGAGACTACATGGCTTCAAGTTCTTTTTTAAATTAACATTTCAAATTGGAGGTAGTGATGTGAAGTAAAGATTGAAAGCTCCTGTTTGCAATCATTTGTAATTACCTATGGTGTCTAAACAAGCTCAGTAATTCAGTCTCTTATCCCTGACAACAGTTGTCTTTGATCATGTTCTACTTCATTACCTATGTTGTTTCTATATCATGACAAAAATCTATCTTTTGTGTGTCAGAGTTGTGTACTGGTGGAGGATGGATCATTTTATTTTATTTTTTTGTGGAGGTATTATTTGGCAAGGGGCTGTATTAATTTTGGTGGAGTATAGAGGATCATGTCATTAGAGAGTTGAAGGATATACACGATGAAATGCCACAACTTTTTGGTTAGTGCCTTGGTTGAGTGTGGTGTCCAGAATATCTAATATGATAACTTGTAGAAGATATTTTTTCCAAGTGAAATTTCAGGAGAATTCTAGTGGTTGGGAGGCATTGAGTTCCTTGTACTCATGCATTTCCATATGATGTGGTGAGTATGGGAGTAGTATGATTTTAGATTTTGGGTTCTTCTCTCTTGTTCTTTTTATAAAAACTGTAAGATACCTTGATAGAGAATATTCATATGTCTTCCATTGTTGTTCTTTCTGCGATAATCATTTATTCAGTAATTATTTATGGAGCATCTAGAGAAGGTCAGACACTGTGCTAAGCCCTGGGGATACAATGGTGAGCCTTACACACTGGATTATGTCTTCATGGGTTTCTAGTCTACACAGAAGGACACAAACCGTAATCATCAGTGTAATAAGAGTTCTGAAGAGAAAACATTACAGTAGTATAAAGCAAGGACAATTGAGATGAGCTCTGAAAGATGCAAAAAAGGATGGAGAAGGTAGAATAGGTGTCAAATGGTCCAGGCAGAGAAAATTGCATCTATGAGGTACTGAAGAGCTTGTATTAGTTGAGTAACTGAAAAAAGAAAAGAAGCAAAATAGGGAAGGGCCTGATATTAGACTGAAAGGGGAAACTGGTGGGTGCCAAATTCTTCTGGGATGCCATCATGAGGATTTTGGTCTTTAGCCTAAGGACAGGAACAGCTACATAATTTTTGAGGCTTAGTGAAATAAAATGCAAAATAAAAATGTGGGGCCCTTTTTACAAGAATTATTAAGAATTTCAAGACTGTGACAGCAAGAGTATCAGACCAAATGCAGTACAGGACTGTTGTAAGCACCATGCCCTGTGTGACTGCTCAAGTTCCAGGCCCATGAAGTTGGCCCTGCCTAAGGGTGATGGGTAGCCAAGGAAAATGTTAAGTAGAGGAGAGAGATGATTGGATGGACACTTGAAAAAGATAAATTCTTTCATTGTTCTACCTAGGAATCTTTAGTTAGTTAGTGTAAAGGCAAAGGAGCATTACATTTCCTAGATCCAGGATTACCAATTATTACTGATACCTTCATAAGTCATGTGCCTATATACATAGGTATTCAGAATCCATTCTCTCCTTTTATTAGTAAGGGTAGTAAAATGGTGAAGTCTGGGGTTTTTGCTTAAAGTCATCCTATGTAAACTAGTATTTTAATACACTTGAGTAATTTTACCCTCTAATCATTTAACAACATAAGCTCAAACTTTCAACTAAGTGATGAGAATAGCACTTAAAATAAATATTGTGCTTCTAGTTTAGAACCAACTGATCCCATGATAAAAGTTAAGAATTCAGAAGTATGAAAGGAAATAATTTTGAAAATGTAAGGAAAAACTTCCTGTTAATCATTGTTTGTTGTAATGGTTTGCGTATTCTGATTAGATATGTTCCGTTGTCTTAAGATAATAGGCTGTATTTCATATGCAGCCCTATATGTAAAAATATTATTAAATATTTTGTCTATCGTAACTGCCAAAGCGAATCATGAGTATTGTTAAATGTAGTAAGAAATAAGCAAATCAGAAAAAAAATAATTCTGAACCATTTTAGTTTTTACAATAATAATCCCATTTTTTTGTGTGCATATATATTTTAAAATACCTTACACAGAAATACTATAAGCAAAATTAAAAATTTGACAGTGATGTACAGTTTAACTTTTTGAAACAATTTTCTTTAAGGACTAATGAGAGAATAGAGGTCAACCTAGTACCCTTTTAAAGTCTGGCATCTCTAGAAACCTGTAACTTTATGTTTTTTTCTTTTTCTAATTTGGGTAATATAAGTTTATAAATATTGATTGTGAAAAATCTTTCCAGCTAATTGTATTTTTAAAAGGAAGATAATTGTTAGATATTTGTAAATCATGACAATAAAAAGAAGATATATTTTAAATTATGGACATCATTCCTGTTTAGATATGTGCTATAAAATGTAAGAAATTGCTTACTAAATATTGTTCATGGTTTGGCTATGTAAGCAAAGTACCTTAGTGATGTCAAATGAGTAAAATGTGGGAGGAATGAGAGAGGCACAATCCTCGAATATTAACTTAGGCTTTTTCAGTACAGAGCAATATATAGTGGGGGAATTAGGGACCTTGATTTAAAGTTACTTTCAGTCTAAGAAAAGCAAGGCAAACACAATCATAAATATACAATTTAATAAAAAAATTACACTATACAACCTGATCTGGTTGTACAGAATTATACACCTAAGGGGTAAGTAACGAGGATGTCAGATACAAGCAGAGGTGATAAGCAGAATGACCTAATCTTAAAGGTAGAGAATCAGAAGGTGGATTGGAATAAAATGAAGATGGGGAGTTGCAAAGGAAAAAGGAATGAGGTCTAGCAAACAATGGGTTTGCAAATTTTGTGTGAGCTAAAAACCAGTATCAGTATTGGATGGCCGTGGGCAATGGAATTATATTACAAATGCTTAAAATTGATAGGACTTTCAAAAAGAGTCTCTGCCAATCTAAAAGAAATGATAGAAAAGTTAATTAGAATTTACAACATTTGGCACAGAATATGGTGGATAATTGTGCTGGGCTAGTTTGGGATCCTGGTAATAAAAGAAGACTAATGCGGGAGGTAGAATAATTATTAAGCTTTAAAAGATAAGAGTGAAACCACTAGATAATTCATGATCATTATTATTGCCTAATATTTATTTTTGGTTGCTTCCTAAGATGCTGAGTAAACTGCAAGACTTACCTACATGGGAAAACAGGAACCCCATCTCTCACATACAATTCCATTTCAATGCACAATTAATTGAAATGAGTTAATAGTGTCATATTACATAGTTGTTATAATTGGACAAACACTTCTGAATTTTATTTAACTTGAAAAACGTATTCTAAGGGGTTAAAAAGCTTTGGAAATGGTTAGAAAAGACTGAAAGCCTTGCTCTTAAAAAGTTATTTTAATTTGAAAATTGAAAAAAGATTATAGTTGTGATATTTTTTGCAGAATTATATTGAAACTCAATAATTGTGCATAGTAATGATAATAAAATTACTTACCTAAGTCCAAAGGTGATGGTTCTTCAATTGTTTGTTGCACAGGCTCAGAGAGGAAGAAATTAAGTATACAATCACTCTGGAAAACAAGACAAAATATAATATTAATATTTCTTGATATCCTATATTCTTCCTTTACACTGGTATATGAAAACACTGACCCAAAATATATAATTATTTGTTAACAGATACCTGTTATACAGTCCATAAAGAGGAAAAAATATATTAGTATATTTATTAAGTCAATGCTATAATTTTACAGTAAGTTAAACTAAACTTTTATGAGTTTGGATGTCTGATTACATTTCTTCAAGAAGCTCTGGTGGGCTCTGCTCTTGGAGATTACCATGATGCTTATATTGTTGAATTTTACAATTCTGCATGAATCTAATACCTTACTTTTCTAGGACATGGACAAAGCTTTCGTAGAAAAATCAATTGTGCAGCACACAGATGTTCAGTTAGTGATTGCCATCACTCTTCAAGGTTCAATTTTAGAAATGCCCACTGAGTACTGACCACACCAATGGCACCGAGGAACGCTAGGGGATATTGAGAGACAAAGAGATGTGTAAGGCAACCCTCTTCTTCAGAACACAATCTAGTGTTCTGGAAACAGATTATATAAAATATTTATAATAGAAATCCTAGTTATGTATACTTTTAGTTCAGAGAAATGAGTGTGCTTCTCTGTTAAATTGGAACGATTACAAACAAATTGACAGTGGATCTGGGCTCCAAATGAATGGGCTAACTCGTGAATCTGACAATAGCTTTTCCCTGGTGACACTGGACACATTTTGTGTTAAGTCCCCATTACATAACCAAGCAGCCCTCTCCATGACAGCCTATACTGTTATCTGAAGGACACCTACTAAATTATTATTTCCACTGAGTACCTTAGCCTGATGTCAAAGCTGCCTGACACTCTCCCTGGCCAGCCTTCTCTCATTCTATGTAATGGCCCTTTCAAACATCTCCCAGGAAACTTAAGCTTCCAAATCTGACTCCTTCTCTGCTGATGATTTTGTCTCCACTTTGGAGAAAATAAAAGGCAGATGGAAACTTCTAAATTTCCTGCTACAAAATCTATAGATTCACAAAGCCAACTTTTATCTTTCCTTCCTGTTATAATGAAAGAAGTGTTTCTCTTCCCACCTGTTATAAGTTGAATTGTATTCACTCCAATTTCATATATTGAAGTTCTAAACCACAGCACCTCAAAATGTGATCTTATTTGTAAATAGGGTAATTGCAAACATAATTATTTAAGTTAGGATGAGGTCATACTGGTGGAGGGTGTGCCCCTAATCCAATATGGCCAATGTCCACCTAAAAAGGGGAAATTTGAACACAGCCATGCATAGAGGGAAGATGTATGAAAAGATATAGGGAGAAGACAGCCATCTACAAGCCAAGGAGAGAGGCTTGGAACAGATTCTTCTCTCACAGACATCAGAAGAAACCAACATTGGAGACACCTTGATTTCAGATTTCCACTTTCCACCACTGTGAGACAATATATTTCTGTTGTTTAAGGCATCCAATTTGTGGTACGTTGTCATGGCAGCCTTAGCAGTCCAATGCTGAACGCTTCATCTATGACCTGGATTCTATTTCTTCCTCCTCAGGAACCTTATAGAATATTCCAGTCATGCTTTAGTCAATGTTCGTCTTCCTTTCTGTCTCATCAGTATAAAGTATGGTCAACTGTCTCCACTTTAACAACTACCGAACAGATGAGTCAAATCAAACAAAATACACTCACAAATAATTTCTTGTCAGTAATGCAGCTGGTGTGATTTTTCTCTTTGATGCAAACAAACTCATGGGAAGAGTTGTCAGCACTCATATGGGTTCCATGTCTTCAACTATAATACTGACTTTCTGATCTCATACTCAGGTTTTGCCACTAATTGTCCTCTGCAAATGCCTTTAACAATCATTTCTAGAACAATTTCTCTTTTCTCCAAATCCAATGGGGATTTTCTTAACTTATATAGATAATTCATTTTTAATGAAATACTCTCATTTGTTTATTTTACTATGTCCTTCCAGTTTTTCTTCCATCAGTTCTGCCATCTCTTCTTACATATCTTTTCAGGCTCCTGTCTTTTTGCTTATGATTTAAGTTCTAGTGTCCCTCACTTCTAGGCGCATCTCATTACTCCATCACATTCTTTCTCGGTGATGGTATGCTTTTTGGTGGCTTCTATATGATACTTCTGCCTTAGCCTTCTGTATCAAAATACCTGTTTATTATCTCCCTTGATGGTTCTAAAGACAATTAAAATCCCAAAAGTGCACTATTAAATGTATTTTCTTTCCCCTCAATTTGCTACTTCTCCTGTGTTCAGGCTCAAAATAATGTGTATCTTTTTGGACTCTCTATTCTCTCTTATACCTCACACATAAAATTAATTGCTGAGTCCTATGGATTTCACCTCATAAATATGTCAGCTATCCATTTCTTCCTTTCAAGTATACTGCCATCTTCCTAGTTCAAACATCATCGCTTCTCATCTAAGTTACAGCAGGGGTTCCCAACTCTTATCCTGAAACACTATTATCCAACTATTCTTTACACAATTGCCAAATTAATCTTTCAAAATAAAAATCTATTAACTGCTTAAAACATGGCAGTGGCTTCCCAATGCTCTTAAGAAAAACATCAACTGCTTAACAAAGCTTAATTGGGATCTTGTTCATGTCCCTGTTTTCACCAATCACCATTTCTGTTCTAGTACTTTATGCTGAATTATGACAAATTATATTTATTTCCTTAAGTGTGTCATGCTGTCTTCCCTCCTTTTCTTCCTACATACTCCTTTCTCCATCCTTTCCACACCTATCCCCCCATTTGCCCAAGGTTTATCACATGATCTCTTTTTTAGTCTTGTTAGCCTAGTCTTTGAGATATCGAGAGCAGAGATTCTCATTTATTCACTCATGCCTAATACAGTATTTCTTCTTTATAAATATTTGTTAACAGAAACAAACAATACACTGGTTTTATAATGCAAATATTATTATTGATGTAGCATTTTTTTCATCATTGTAAACTAGTTATCAATTTTGATCTCTATGTATTGATCTCTTGTGACCTTGTTTAATGAGAATCTATCCTCAAGAAATGGGTCTATATTCAGGAAGCTGACCAAACCAAGTTTTTTTTTTTGGTTAATTTTGAAAGCTTAAAGTTAAACTTCAGTCTGTGCAGAATTTGGTGAAAGAAATTTTAACTTCTTTGGCCTTTTGACAACTAGTCAATTATTTTCCTCTGGTAACATTTTGACCTCAACCATCCAGTGGTTATTAAACTTCAGTAGTAGGCAGAATAGCTTTCCAATTAGTGTCTGAAATGTCACCACTAGCTAATTATTCCCTTGTGTTTACACTGTCATATGCTTGAAATCCTCATTTGTAATTTTGGGTGCGGGTGACATACTAAATACTAATTCCTTAATGTAGCAATATGTATTGTTTGAATTCTCAAGGAGAAACATGACTTAGTGTCAATGTAGAGAGAAATTAATAAAAAAAAATGAAGAGAGTAGAAAAAGTAATATTGTTGGGTCTCAGAATAATCGATTCAAAAATTTCCTCAGATTGGGCTTTATTGATATGCATGTACCCTGCAGCTTTTTAGCACATTGCACCAGTGGGGAGTTTGGAGAATTACAGAAATGCTGATGCTACAATTGCTCTCACTAATAACCTGGGCCAGTGTTCTCAATTAGGTTTGTATTGTCCCCCAAGCAGTGTGGCTAGATTTAGTTGTGTAGGTTATATACTGAGCAACTCTAAGGGTGCCATTTTTACACTGACTGTAAGTATAAGTCTACTCAGCAGAGTTCCCATCTGTAGGGCTGCCAGCTATAGCAAATCAAAACAGAGGATGCCCATGCAACATTTGCAACATACTTTTACAAAAAATTATTTGTTTATCTCAATTTCAAATTTAACTGGGCAGCCTGCATTTTATCTAGGTACCCTACAATATAAGGTGTTTAGAAAATATGTGGGCATGCTTTTGTTTGTCTCAATGACTGAAGGGTATTGTTGGCAATTCATGGGCAAGGCCATTTATCCTAAATGTCCTAAACTACCCAGGAGATTCTTAAATTATGAAGAATGTTGCTTTTCTGCTTAATTCTTCAAATGGTCATTGTTTCCCAGAGGTGGGGGTGGGGGG